ATTATTATTATAATTATAATTATAATCAAATAATAATAATAACAAATTTGCGATTTAAAGTTGCTGATATTTATTAATTTACTCTACTTTCTTAGTTCAGAGATGAAAAGCTCACTCTGAAAAATTTATTATTGCGAATCATTTTTAGCTTATATTATTATCATGGACGTTAATGAAAAGCTACTTTCGTATTCCGTTTGTCAAAGTGAAGAATGCATTTTTCTTTTTAAACTGTTCTTCGATCTCTGTGGCATCCTCAAAATGTAAGCTATTCAACTGTAATTGTGTTTTATGTCTCACAATACACCAATGATTATCTTCTGTTGGAGGATGCTAAATTTTGAGTAAAAATACAGCTGAAATTGTCCAAGACAGCCACCCACTGTTGAGGAGAAAATGGTTGTCTTAGACAAGTAGGCGTCTTGGACAATGTCATTATAGTAACTCATTGACAGTGAGCTGTTTTGAGGTTCTTAAAAAAAAATCAGAAGGCTGACTCCGATATCCATACTCATTTTTCAGTTCTGTTTTCTTTATTTGAAAGTTTAAAAGGCACGTAACAACGTATATATATATATGAAAGGTGCAATTTTCAGTTTTTGATTTTTTGTAAAAATTGATCAAAATATATCCCAAATTTGCCTTTGCTCTTCTACTGATCGGACGTATGTGTCCGCTATCCCTCAAAGAGTTTTACAATTTTAATAATCAAGATGGGAGGTGACAAGTGACTGTCTATACAGATGATTGTCTAGGACAAGCTGTCATTAGAGAAGGTTCGACTGTAATTTGTTTGTGATGTAGGTTCTTTGCCCTCGACGCGAAATACATGAGTTCAGTTCTTGTTTGGCTTGGGGTTTTATCGAATATCTTCGTCTGTCTTCTGGGACTTTGTATCCGTCTCAGCCCGTGCACTCCCTGACAGACTGAGCCTGCCTCCTAAATGATCTAAATAATAGTTTCAATGGGCGCGAAAAACCGAAATTATTACTTTTTACAGACAACACTGCAATCTTGAGACGGGGCTGTAAAAACATACAGATAATAATAATTCAGCACCACTCATCACTGCTTTTCTCATCCTACATCAGGGTATAGGCCACGAACAAACACTTTCCACCTTTCCCTGTCCCGGGCTAGTCTCTTGATATTATTCCATGTCTTCCTAATTTTCTGTTCACCATTCTCTGTGACTCTTCTCCAGGTGTCACGTGGAATCCCCCTTGATCTCTTAACCTGTGGATTCCAATCCAACACTTTCTTTGTTAACAATGCAATTGTTATTTTATCTTGGGTGTCCGACTCAACAATGTGACCCTGTATGTGCATAAACATCGGTTTTCAGAAAAGTGGGAGAAAACGTAATTTCTTCTTTTTTTTATACCAGAATAGCTCAAACTTTTATGAAGAATGTTATTTCTACATAATATTGTAATAATCAATTGTAGTTATGAGACTGTATGAGTAGTTATAAATAATATAACAAATGAGGCAGCGTGGTGAAATGAGGCGCTCGTCAAAATAATCAAAGTGAAGAAACTGGTATTTTTCCGCAGAAGTGTGAATATTTATCGAATTTTGGGGTTTTGGTTCAACGCCTTTCATGCCCATTAAAAACACATCTGTGTGTGTATTTTACTGAAAAACGTTGATTAAAGGCACAATAAATTGTAAATTTTCAGTTTCCACGGATTCTTAAGCTATGGAAAAAACTCATCTTTGGCGGTCCTTTTCTGACTAATTTTACCTCTGAAACCGGGTGACCCCCACCTCCTTCAATCGCAAATATGTCGACTTCTATTTGAGATAAAAGAATTTTTTTTCATCTAAAACAAGACAAATGAACAAGCTTTAAGATGATACCAATGACTCTACATTCCCAAAAATTCTGATTCCACCACGTCGTAACACATAGATCTATAGCTTAAAACAAAAAAATCTGTGTTCAATTTAACAACATATTATGGTGGACGCCCGATTAGAGACAGACACAGAAGATGAGCACTTTTCAGGTCAACGAATTCGAGGAAGAGTCCCTCGTACAACTATTTGCTCTGTGACCGTTTGTTATATTTTGTATACGTTTGTATAGAATACACGACATGTGTTTCACGAGCTTTTTTTCGTCTTGAAATCGTAGTTGGAAGTCTCCACAGGGTTTAATAATTAAGAAAATTAAAGTTAATCTTGATACATATAGCCTACTATTTGATTTAAATCGTTTGAACATTCATTTTCGAACGAGCTTAAAAATCCTACATTGGTTTGAGAAATAAACTATTTTGTTTTTGAAATTAGCCATACATTTAAGCTCCTTATCTCAAAATGAGGAATATCAGTTTTCACATTTAATCAATGTTCTTCTTTGTTGAGGACTTTCCTTCAGGAGACTTTAATAACACTGTAATTGTAGAATTTGTATGTACCCAGTGACACAATTTTGAAATATTTAGGAAAAAGGCTGCATCGACCTTGCCTCTCAGGATCAAACTGGGCTAAGAGGGATATAAAGTCCCAGCAGATAAACGGAGCTACTTGATAACAAAAAGAAAGAAAGGAAAATGATAATGATAATAAACCAACCAACCAACCAACCAACCAACCAACCAACCAACCAACCAACCAACCAACCAACCAACCAACCAACCAACCAACCAACCAACCAACCAGCCTACCAACATACCAACCAACCAACCAACCAACCAACCAGCCTACCAACATACCAACCAACCAACCAACCAGCCTACCAACATACCAACCAACCAACCAACCAACCAACCAACCAGCCTACCAACATACCAACCAACCAACCAACCAACCAACCAACCAACCAACCAACCAACCAACTAACCAACCAATCAAACAACCAAACAACCAACCAACCAAACAAACAAACAAATAAACCCAAAATATCCCAACATAGACTTCGCACTAACTTCCTTCGCATGCAATAACGATCCGCCTCACTGCAACGCCACAATGATAAGAAGATTAGTTCTCCAGACAAAACTTACTCCAAGCCATGTAGTCACATAGGAAAGTAGAAATGGAGAGAATTATAATTATCAGACTAAAACTGCAGCAAATAACCCCCTTCACCGCCCCCCCCCCCCCTTTCCGAAATCAATCCTGAATATTATAGAGAAAAGAAAAGGAATAATAATAATAATAATAATAATAATAATAATAATAATAATAATAATAATAATAATAATAATAATAATTATTATTATTATTATTATTATTATTATTATTTTATTTATTTTAAAAAAAAATTTTTTTTTGGGGGGGGGTATTTTTCTTCTTTATTATTATTATTCTTACTCTTATTATTATTATTATTATTATTGTTATTGTTATTATTATTATTATTATTATTATTATTATTATTATTATTATTATTATTATTATTATTATTATTATTATTATTATTATTATTATCATATCATTATCATTGTTACCCTGAATTAGAAATATTCTCTTTTTGAAAGTGATAATCATTAACACCGTAATTATCATTGGTTGGAATAGAATTATTAAAAATCATAATATTAGTCTTAATGTCATTGTTAATTTTGATCTTTTAAAACTGGTTTTTTTTAAAAATGTATACTATTTTTTTTTGAAGATAGCGCTAATAATACAACTGAACACGATAAACTGGAAAGTTTCTTTGTTGACTAATTTAATTCGTTAGTAGACAGAAGGTTAATAATTTAATCCGTGCGTTAGGTTGTTATTTAATTACTTAGTAAACACATAGGAAGCTAGTCTGTTAGTTATTTAATTATGTTTAATTAATTAATTAATTAAGTTAGTTAGCTAGTTAGTTAGTTAGTTAGTTAGTTAGTTAGTTAGTTACTTAGTTAGTTAGTTAGTTAGTTAGTTAGTTATTTAGTTAGTTAGTTAGTTAGTTAGTTAATTAGTTAGTTAGTTAGTTAGTTAGTTAGTTAGTTAGTTAGTTAGTTAGTTAGTTAATTAGTTAGTTAGTTAGCTATATAATTCGTTAGATATTTAGTGAGTTTGTTAGGTAGGAACTACCTAGTAGTATTCGTCAGCGGGGAAGTTCAATGTAATGAATTCTCTGGATTTTATGTCACAATGGAATAGTACAAAGCTCACATTGAGAGGCGTGTAGACATTTCATTAAAAGTCTTTTAAAAATTCTTGCCACTTTGGTGGTTGCAACGACTTGAATAAAAATTCTCGTTTTCTGGAGGTAAAATCCCATTAAAAAGGTTCCCTGGCGTGTAAAACATGTATTACCAACTGTCAACGACACAGGCATTTACTTTTATAGATTATACGTACTATGCCGGGTGATTTTCTTGTCTCTTTGATATGTAGTTTTATTATATCTTGTTCCTTTTTATTCCAGATAACACAGACATTACCAGATCTTCAAAGAGTTTCCTGTTCCAAAATGACAGAGGAAGGATTTCCAGCTGAGGGTAGCATCACCTCCCCGACACACGCAGACGAGAGCTGCAAGAGCATGTCGAAGTCCACAGTCAGAAAGAAATCCTTGGCGTTCTCCATTGACAGCATCATGAGCAGAGCACCCACACATCACCCAAACACCACGCCCATCATCCTGACTCCTCCCACACCGACAGCCACGCCTCCCCGACAAAGTTTCTCTCCTGTGGCAACAACCGCTCTGGATTCGAGCTCCAAACCAGTTGAAATCCCGCCTAGCCCGGAGTCTGATCATGCGGAGCATCCATTTAACCTGAGCAAAAACGCTCCGATAAACTGTTGCATTCAGCGGCAAGGGGAGGAAACTCCGACAAACACTTTCCCAGCTTCGACCAAAGTAGATACCAAAATCTCTCCAGGACAAACGGTAAACGCAGACCACAACTCCAACTTAAGCATCGGTCACGGGTGCTGCAGCCCCAACCCGAGCCCAGCCATAATGGAGTATGACGAAGCCCCTCCTTCTTCCGGCTCCACCCCGATAGCCTCCCGAGCTGTGACGCCGTCCAGATCTCCGAGAATACACGAGGGTCAACCAGGCAAACACCCGCTGGGACCGTCGTCTCCCTTCGGTGCCAGAGACAACCAGACGAGCCACGCCTTTGTCCAGTACTCCAGAGACATCCACGGAGCCCTCCGCGACGCCACGAGAGCTCACCCTTTCCTCTCCGGCGTCCACAACGGGTTTGCGTCACTTCCGGGAGCCATGCCGCGTGACGTCAGGGATGCCGCCCCTCTGTACCCGATCTTTCACCCGGCGTTTGTCGGGGCGTTGCCGCGCGCGTCTCTGGACGACTACCAGGCTCAGATCATGAGAAGCTACCCTTGGCTCAACGCCGGGCTTCTGTCGCACCTCAACACCGCAGCACACCTTCCGGGAATTCCCCTAAACCTGTTCGAGACGATGAAACAATCGCACCTGTACCAGACTTTGAACCACATGAACAACAATAACAACACAATCAACGCCAATGTGGTGGAGAACGGGAAATACAACACACCGATGCTGCAAAGCCCGGAGAACAACTCCTTGCAGGCGAAATTTTCGCCGAGGCCGAGCGACCTGTCGTGCAAGCCTCCGCGACCCGAGTCTCGGAATTCCCAGAACAATCTCATCATCCCCAAACCTTTGGAGAACCGAGGGCGATCCTGTGATTCAAATGGCTCAGATTCCAGCAACCACATCTCCCTGAAAACTGATGACGGAGCAGAAGCGGAGGATCAGTGCGTCGATCTGTCCTCGCCCACCAGTACGGGAGCTGCAAGCAGTAGCAATGAAGACTTGAAATCCAAGAAAATTATCGGGAAGAACCAGAAAACATTTACCTGTCCTGAATGTGGGAAAGTTTTCAACGCTCATTATAACTTGACGCGTCACATGCCGGTCCACACAGGGGCACGTCCGTTTATCTGCAAAGTTTGCGGTAAAGGCTTCCGACAAGCTAGCACTTTGTGCAGGCATAAGATCATCCACACAGCGGAAAAACCGCATAAATGCAACACCTGCGGGAAGGCTTTTAACCGGTCTTCCACTTTGAACACACACATGAGAATCCATCAAGGATACAAACCGTACGTATGTGAGTTTTGCGGGAAAGGCTTTCACCAAAAAGGGAACTATAAGAACCACAAACTGACGCATAGCGCCGAGAAGCAGTACAAATGCTCTGTGTGTTCCAAAGCCTTCCACCAAATCTACAACCTCACCTTCCACATGCACACACATAACGATAAGAAACCCTTCACCTGTCACGTGTGTGGGAAAGGCTTCTGCAGGAACTTTGACCTCAAGAAGCATATGAGGAAGCTCCACGACGGCTCCCACACGGCCAACACTTCAGGCTCCTCCTCCTCCGGCCCCCACAGCCCACAAGCCACGCCCCAACAGCCGCAGACGTCACTGACTCCGCCCCATTCTCACATGTTCTCCGGACAAAATAACTACGCACCCTCAGCCTTCCTGGCCAGACCTCCCCTCTTCGCACCCCACCAGGCCATGGCGTGTCAGAGAAGGCTTCTCTCGCCCTACATGGTAGGACCTAACGCTGCCAGTCTCTTGCACAAGATCTCCTCAATAATCTAGCACGCAGCAAATGCCCAGAAAAATGTAACTGCTGAAGCCTTTCAATAATAATAATTTTTCCTACGCTAAGTGTAGCGCGAACTGAGGGCTGCCTTATTCTAACTCCAATTCTTGGCACTTGGGAGTTTTGGTCACAGCTATTATGGCTGTTCAAAAATCCTCCCTTTGAGCCTCAAATTACCATTACGGGCAATGCCTGTGCTCCGTAGAAGTTTAGCTGCTTTCTGTGCCAGCTCCCGCTTTTGAGACTGCATTTCAGTGCTTTCAAAGTGATTTACATCAGAACCAGAGAAATGAAGTTAGTATAAGGTAGCATTAAATTTGCGAAGTGTTTATTATTATACCCTTTACAGCCACAGATCCCCATAGAAGGCTAAACTCCTTCCGTGGCTCTCTTTGTAGGTATGATCCATCTTTTGCCCATGGACACTTGTATTAGAGTTTGTAACTTATTCGTAGGAGGGTAAAAGTAAATTTCGAGCCCCCATTCTTGAAAACAGAGAGAAAAAAAATGCACTTCTTTCTCCCATGATGTCACAGCAATTCACATATTGTGGCGTCTTACAGAAGGGAGACGCCGACTGTGCTTACTAGATCAAATACGTTCCCAAATGGAGGGCTAAAGTTTACTTTTATCCTTGTTCGTAGGAAGTAAAGTGGGTGGTTGGCGGGTACTCTGGTAAGGTTTGACCCTTCTTTTCTCTCAAACATCAGTCGTCTTTATCTCTCCTCCTTTTTTTCTCGCTATATTATGTTACCCCCCTTTAGTTACACTTCTCATCTTCGGCGCTTTAATGAACTATTATTTTGTGTTGCAAATGCCGTAAAACGCTTATTTAAACTACAACTCAATACGGCATGTGGTCGACAGAAGCAGAACAATGTGAGACGTATAGTCGACAAACAGTCTATTGGCCACAAGAGTCACATGACATTGGTCACATGACCACGTACGACAAAAATAGAAAATGCCAAAACAACTCTCTACCAATACTCGAGAGCGTGATATTTTATTGCACAAGCCAATCAAATTAGAATGTTGTTGTTGTTGTTGTTGTTGTTGTTGTTGTTGTTGTTGTTGTTGTTGTTG